AAAACAACATACAATCTTACTGTATTTACACTTTGTAGAGTCACTTCCCCTAATGCCTCCAGAGTTCAAGAGCAGTTAAAACTTCCATGTTCGAGCTCTCAGAACTTTTCAGTATTTGGTGTGGGGGCATTATTGTGAATAAACTGAGAGCTGGCACAACGAGGGACTTTCAATAGAAATCATTATACCAACCTGCAGCTTCTTAAAGCTCTCACTGTACCTGCACCACAGGGGGCAGTATAGAGTGGTGTGCAGTAGGCGTTGAACAAAGTGATTTTCAGCCCGTCCATACAGCTCACAGTACTGCCTCTGGATGTCATCGTCATCACGGAAGTCACTCCTGATGACGTCCCCAGGTATGTGACCTTCTCCACTTTCATAAGCTCCATTCTAGACATGTAATAAGCAGGAAAAAGGGTCTTAAGGGGATCTTTGGTCTTTTTGGAGTTAAACCTAAAATCTTATTCAATTAATTTTATTTTAGTATAGCCCTAAATCAGGCCTGTTAAACTCATTATTATTAACTCGCAGCATTGATGGTGGACCAAGGCATGTTAAACATCTATACATTTATTTTCTCAGGAAAACAACCACATTGAAATTATTCTAACATTTTAAACCAATACATCATTAGAAGCTGAACTATGTGTTTGACTTTATATATTTGGTCCAGTGTTGGTTAAATCCAAACAATAAAAACATTGTTTTCAGAAAAATCAAATAATAGTAAAACTCGTGTCACATCAAAATACCTTCATAATGTAAAAACCAGTTATTAGAAAAGATCAGTTCCTATTTTTGTCATTTAGCCCCTGACCAAGATGAGTTTGACACCCTGCCCTAAATCACAGCTGTTAGTCCATAGGGAGCGGCATGACCATTGTCCATAAATGTAAATAAATGGCCATTAATGTCTCAGATTATCACCACTGTCCTTACACCCTCCTGCGTCTTCAAAGAACAACTCTTTTTTTTTTTAACTTGAGCTCATGTTGTTCTATATGAAAGAACTAGAAAAGCCAGATGGCACAGTTGGTTACCTTTGAAATCAATCTTGGATCCAGATGGTGTTCGAATCATTTGTTCTATCATCATAATAATAATCCCATCACTTGCACAGTCAGACGAACCCTGGTGAAAACATAACCCCTGACAGTGTAGTGTGTGGTGGAAAACTTTATGAAACAAAGGCTCGAGGAGTTTTCAATTATTTATTTTTTTACATCAAAATATCACTCTTTGCATTTGTTCGTCTCACAAAAATAACACGTAAACATGACAAAGCATTGAGCACAGAGGAAGACGCCCATATAAGGCTGTGTAAACACTTCCTGTTTACACAACCACAGCTCATTTTTAGGCACTTTTCCAATATTGTAGTTTTTTAATCTTTTGTTTTCTAGTGAGCTGCTTTCCTTCACGTCACTGAAACAATTTAACTTCTAGTAAATGTTTTTGTCACAGATGCTAAAATAATGTCTACAGTTTGTTCATTTACTTTGGCACATATCGCTTGACTGCGGTTTCAACAAATGAAAATTCAATCTTGTAGTGACCTTTTGTCATTTTCTGCAGATGGAGTGGCTTCCATTTAAAAAAAAGACAACTAAGATAGGAGCAATGGAACTGTTAAAAAAAAACAAAAAATCCTCAGTTTTAGTAAGTTTCCTTTTGATTCTCACATTAACACAAGTGGAAGATCGTCACACCGAGGGGAAGTCTTAAAGTCAGTCAAACCTTAATATTCTCACCCACTGGAACACATTGTGCCAAATCAACGTTTAAACGAGTTAATATCATTTTTTATGGATTTTGTATGAAATTATTTCTTTTTTTACAGGGGCAGAGAACAATAAGCCAAAAGGAGAGATGCATTGTACCAGGCTAAGGGTACACTGTGTAGTTTTTACTCCTATTTAGCGTTGAGATCATATATTGTAATTTATGGCACTACGGGAACTTCGCAGGACAATATGTCGTCTTTGACAATGGTCCCCAACCCCCACTCAAACTCCTTTTTGTCCCTTATCAACCACTGTATTTCAAGATGGCACTGACACAGAGAGTCCCCCAGCCTCATGGACATTTAAAAGTCAATTTCAAAGCCTATGAAAACAATTCAAAAACATAGTGGAGGTAAATATTCTTAAAAAGGTCACATTTGTTATTAGTGAAAATGTTTTTTTTTTCGTTTGAAGCAACTGTAAAAATTACACGAAGTACCTTTAAGAAAGAGACTGATTTTCTTGTGCTATCTTATGTTGAGTGCTCCTCATTGCTACTGCTCCCCTCTCAAAGTTAAACAAAATGATTCTTGCAATATGCACATTTATTCTCCGTTCCCGGGAGCGGACCCCTCTTTCATGGCTCTCCCTGAGGTTTATCTTTTTTCACCTCTGGGTTTTTGAGTTGTTCCTTGCTGATGCAGGAGGGTCTAAGGACAGCAGTGAGGATCCAGGACATTTATGGACATTGCTCATCCCTGTGTTTGTTATTTTTGCATGTCCTGGCTTAGAACCAGTGAGGGCGAGTCCCGGCTCAAAAGTGGCCAAAATGACGTGCGCTGACATACTTGCAATACCACCCCGGGCCGATGGGGGTGGACCCAGAAGAAGAATTAGCCAATGCTAACATATAGCGTTGGCAGACCTCTCAAAACCGTCTTTACAGGGTGGTCCAAAAGCTGGCTCTTGGCCCAAAGCTCCGTTCCACATGTGTGTCAATGCTGAGGGGGGTGGATTTTTTGGACCACTCTAGTTTAGTTGCTGTGAATTTTTGAAGTCTCTCGTTTAAATGAATGGGGCTCGTGCCGACTGACGCAGATGCGTTTTTTCACATTTTCCCTACGGCCATTTTGAATCTGCCCATAGACCGCGGAAGTTGTGGCACATTAGTTAGAACGGCGGAGATAGGCGTGACTACGTCGGTTAATATTACAGTCTATGGTTAGAACGGTCTGATTCTCTGATTTTTGTATTGGTGAATTGACAATTTTGTAAAACCGTTGTGATTTAGGACTAATCAAAATGACATATTTTTATGAATTGAATTGAATGAAGACCCCAATGCCCGTCGTTGTCACCACCACTGGTCCACACCCACGGTTTGTATTCACTATTATCTGAACTCAGGCGTTTTGGCACGTAAAAAAAATAAAATAATAATTACTGATTGCTGCTGTAAAATGCTGCTTCTGGCTCATATTGATGATGATGTTGATGGTGAGGTAGCAAAACAGAGCAGATTTTAGTTTATTTTTTTACGGACTGTGGAAATGTTTTCAAAAATGAAGTACAATAACCCAAGGGTGTCATTAATTATGAACTATTAACTACATATCCAACACACGATATGCCTTCTGTAACCAAAATCAATCCTTCAATTCTGTATCCAGCTCTGTATCGACTCTAAACGTCCCCAAAGCTGACCAGTCATTGCACGTTTCACTTTTTGGAACAACTCTTTGGCAAGTAGTATTTTTTTTTTACCATTCACAAAATAAAAAAGCATTTTGTATATTAATTTATAAAGACACAGCACATTTACAAGACAGTAGGTACAAAGAAAGGTTATTCAATATATTAGGCACAGATCCTGCTTTGTCACTGCAGGTGTAAGAATAAATTTTAACATCAAGAACTGGAGGTCTTTACACTCCCGATGGGCGTGATGGTCTGTGCTCGGCCTGCCACAATAACTCCTCCTGCACAGTATCGACATGAGACTTACCCGAAAGAGAATAAATATCGAGCCCCATAGAAAGATCTTTGTATGAAAGTGGGAGTACTCTTGACATAAATGTTATACCGGAAAAAGAGTTCTGTGAAATGATGGGAACAAGTCTGCCCACAACATTTTAGTTTTAGCTTATGAGAAAACTTTTGTCCAAACTAGAAAGAAAGATGTGATTGGCTGAGAGAGCGTGGTCTGTCTGAAGAAGGTGATCGACAGTTGCGACAGAGACCAAACTTAGAGCGAGGAACTAGTTAGAAGGATTTTAATACACAGTTCAAGGTGTGTGGTCTTTTTTAGTTATGACAAGCAATTTCTCTCTAAGCCAAGCCAAAAATGGATTGTTATATACTGAAAGTCAAACATGCTCAAACCAAAATACTCTCTGAAAGACAAAATTAACCTTTTTGAATCTAAATACTTTTTGCACGGCTACCTAACTTTCAACATTTGGAAGCATTAAACATAAGACATAAATTAACGTACAACAAACTATTTCTCGCCTCTAAAACATTTTTCGATCAGCTTTTTCAGACTGAAGTGTAGAAAAGAGAGGACCGCCCTCACTCAAAGCCCAAAGTATCAAAACGTTTTCTTGTTAAGATGTTTTCTAATAAGATATAGACAGAATCTTGGGGTCTGATTTGTTCACAACATTTTACTTATAGAAGGTGCTGGGTTCGAATCCCGGTCGGACCAGGGCCTTTCTGAGTGGAGTTTGCATGTTCTCCCCGTGTCTGCGTAGGTTTCCTCTGGGTACTCCGGTTTCCCCTACCACTATAAACATGTACAGTAGGTCTGGCATGCGACCGCGCTCCCATCTCTGTGTTGAGTGTCAGACAAATGCCCAAAAAATAACAATTTGAAAACCGCTTTGTGACTCTAGTCTGTGAAAAGCGATATATAAATAAAGATTCCTCACTCACTTACTTTTTCAAGACTTTTCTTATTAGGAAACATTTGTTGAAACTAGTAAGAAAGAGCCCTACAAGTTACCATTTGACGCTTTGGGCTGAGAGCTGATTGGTTGTGCACATTAAAGTACTGATCTATCCATCTTTCTGTTGCAACAAACATGTATTATTAATGGGGCGGCAGGAGGAGGGGGTGGAGTTAGGTACCCCAGCTTTAATCACAGGTGAACCATGTTTGTGCAGTGGTGTAGTTACGGTGACAGGCCCAGTCTTTGCTACACGTCCTCCAGTCCAGTCGCTCCCACAATGCACCAACACATGAATGTTCCTTTTGGCTTCTTCTTCTTCTTCTAGCTATCTCTTGGCTTGCGGCGCGTAGAGGAAAACGGCACTAAACGTGGACAGGATTTCTCTGGCTTCGGTCGTGGCGAGCTGACCGCGTGTCCGCACCAGCCCCAGCCGCTCGCCTTTCCTCAGGGGGAAGACTAAGCTGAAAGACACGGTGCCTCCACAGTCACAGCTCCCCCTGGTGGCTGCTCCCGGTGCGGTTGAGGTCTGCAGTCTTTGGACACTGCGGTTGGCCACGGACAGCACCGCCTCCACTCGGTCGCCCGGTCTGGCGGTCAGCACGCCGGAGATCAGGTATCGACCGTCCACCGGCGCTGTGAAGACCCCTGCGCACAGATTTGCACACGTCAATATTGTTTCTAATTCAGGAACGCCATGGATTAAGATTGTTGGCAAATGCAGGCCCACAAGTCCCCAGTGGGAAGCATCCACAGCAGTTCTAAAGACATGCTTAAAGGGGGATTTTAGAAAACTGCGCAGATTTTTCTTTTACAGCAAATTGCAGCAGCCTATCTTTAATTTGAATAAGAAGAGAAGTTAAATTGCAGTTAAAAGTATTTTGTTTCTATTAAAAAATGAAAATAAAACAAATGGATGAAATAGCTTGATCTATTACCCAATGATTGAAAGAGCAGCTAATCATATTATGCAACACCCACTTTTTTTGTTGCTTTTAACCATGTAAACCATTGTTCCCTCATAAAAAAATATTTGTTTTTATATCCAGCCAACTTCTGTTATAAACTTATAACTCTGCCACTTCTGTCTAAAAGCTCCTGTCTCAGTCCTGTATAGTGTGATGTCATTGTACCACTGTGTAAAGTATTGCCCATGAACTACAGTAATGTTGGCAATTTCTCAAGTGACGTTACTTTCTTGGCAATGACATGACTGTGTTTGCAGCTGGTAATTTTCTAAATAGGTCATGACCAAAACCAATTCTACACTTCCCTCTAGTGGTAGCATAGAGCATAATTTCACCATATCATTTCGACTGATAGATCCGGAAGATATCTCACATTCTAAAACGTGAAATGACAAAGTAAATAGTCTCATCATTTTGATAAGATAAGATAAGCCTCCACAAAAAATTTCAATGTCATTGTTGCGCACATTACAGCAGCATAAAAGGAGGAAAAAGAGCACTCAGATTGCACATAACAAACAGGATCTATTATTTAAGATAATGGGTAATAAAAATAAAATAAAAAATCCCAACTATATTAGCCTTTAACAATGCATCATATTTCTTCTTTAAACTGGAGGACTGAACTGTCAAACCACAGAGAATTTTACAATGTAATAAAAGCCAATGATCGCACAATAAACAGTTTTATTCCCATCACTAGTTTTCACACGTGTATATTATTTTTGGCCTCTATAATTTTACATCAACTTTTTCAGTCAGAAAAGTGAAGAAGAGACCAGCCTAAAGTGTCAATTAGTGAGTCAAAGGGCTCTTTCTGATAAGTTGGCAAAAGATAATATGTTTTCTAATAAGATGCATTGTGAACGTTATGGTCTGATTTGTTCATAGCATTTTACTTCTATAAGAATCTTTCTATTCACTCAAAACTGCAATGAATGCTTAAATCTAGATAAATAACTAGAATTCTGTGCATTTCTTCTGCGAGATGTTTTACCTGTGTGTGGAGAGTAGTGACCCCCGTCGTTCACCAAGACCCTGTTGAAGCGGATCAGGCCGAAGTCTCCAGAGAACGAGGTCTGAGTGAGTCCCGCAGAGAAGGAGAAGGACTCCGGGAAAGACCAGGGATCCACAGACTCTGCAGTCACAGGAGAGAGCTCATTTTTTGATATACATGTACAGTAGACCCACAGGAAGTGATGTGTGAGTGTAGTTGTAGTAGTAGTGGTGGTGGTAGTTGTAGTTTAATTTCTACAGTCATTACAAACATTGAGATCTTAAGTCATCTGTTTTTCAAAGACATTATAAAAAATATTTACAATGTCTAAATGGAAAAAGTATATTAGGATTTTGATGACCAGGAGCTGTTATTAGTTCAAACAAAGCACTGTAAAGATCTTGCACTTGTATTGAAACTCATGTTGACGATCAATTTCACAGCGACAATTGTTTTATGCACTTTTTTAAGTTACTTTAAGTCCTGTAGTTTTTACTGTACCTTGTGTCATGTATCTACTTGTCTTGTGCACACTGGGAACTTTTGCAAATTTATTCCAATGTGGTTTTACTGCAAATGGCAAAATAACATTAATTTGAATCATTTACCCCGTGTACTAGCTTTACATGCTTTACCTGCTTGCATTTTACAGTTTTTAATTTGAGCATATTGTCCCAAAATACAATTCTATTTTAATGATGTTTTGAACTTGCCGTGCCTAACTGCGACCATGCATGACAATTAATTAATTAATTCTGATAAAGTAGGGCTGCAGTAGTATCTGCAGCCCTACTTATCACTAAAGGAGATAGGCAGTATGTGATTCAAATACATTTCATCTGTGGTTTAGCTTGTATCTTGCAAAATTAATCCAAAACGATGAATCCATTGATTTGATTAGTGGCTGTAACTTGCTTTGGTGGAATAGGGTAACTACTTAAAAATATGTGAAATCAAAAAATCAAAACTAAACAGGGGCAAACATGAATCACATTCTGTTTGTATTTTTGATGTGTTTGATGTTACCTGGTGAATTGGCCTGATACATCTGGTTCCAAGGCTGCTTCACCGCCACTGGAGCTACAAAACACACACTAACTTAACCATCAGCTTTCCTTGAACGAACCCTTTGAACCTCGAGAAACATGCATCTAAAAAAGCAGCATTTCCGTCCGATGAACTATTTTCTACTTGTTCTAATGGCGTTTCCAAATTACCATCAAAAGTAACATGGAGCAGCGAGCCAAAAAGTTTCTTACAAGTGACGACGGCTCCCGCAGTCCGCCCCCACATGAGCTTAAGAGAACACATCCAGCTCCTCTGCAAATTATTTACAGCTTTTGCACTTTCTTTTCCCACTGATGCTGCCAAACTGGCGCCCCTGCAACTTGTGAGTGTCTGTTTAATAATGTAATGTACCTCGGTGCGCGGCGGCCGGCTGGGGTCTGGGGGCGGCTGGCTGCGGAGGGGGGTAACCTGGAAGACACATGTGATTAGTGTGGGGGGGACTCAATGGGTAGTGTTCATGTGACATCACAACATTCCAATAGTTTGAAACAGTGGTGGAGGGCGGCTGAAAAACCTCTACTGTATACTTATGTATCTATTTGTCCATGCCATTTTACATAATTACATCATGTATATTCCCTTTACATTTGAAACATCTTTCCTGGTAACTATGGTAACTGTCAGTCTCTCATCAAATGGCTGCAACTTATTTTTGTATCTGATCTAATTTAAACTAATGTGTGGCACTTTTTTCAAGTACAGCAAAGAAAATCATTTTTCACCAAACAAACTGGCAAGCCTCATTCTGCTCTCTGATTGGATAGTTTGGTAGACGTCCATTGTTTTTGTTTTTTTATTGAGATTTGGCTCAGAAAAGCTAAAATATAGATCTACAGTATACACAATGACTATTATCCTTTGTGATTTAGAATGAAATAAATACATACTGTCCCTTCTGTTAAAGTTTGAAGTGTCCGTTAAAAACTTCTCTCAGTGGGTCATCGTGGTTTTGAGTGACATGGCTATTGATTCTTTTCTTTTGGACAACAATAGAATTTAGTATTGACCGATCTCAGGGAGCTTTAAGATCGCTGTGGGGAGGTGCGAAGAGAGGTGTTCCAAATCCATTAACAAAGAGATTGGCAGTGAAAAACACCCTGGTTCTAAAGCTCTGGTAATGACTGGCATTTTGTATGACATTTTCACATGGGAGTGACGTATATTTGCTTTCGACAGCTGCCATGTGGACGCAAAACTCGGTACCCCTTGTTTTGTTTTTCCTAATCTTTCTAGATCCTCTGCAGTTAATTAAAAGCAGAACAAATGTCAAATTAACTGTAACCACCAGATGTTTTGAGTAATATACTGCAGTGGTCTGATGAGTTAGAAGGCTAGCATGCGTTAGTAATGAGCAAAGGCCTGAATGAAGCAATTGCTAAGTCTTTGACTGTGGAAGGTGTTGTTGCCATGACGATTGTGTAAGCAATTATACCTCATTAAGTCCAACAACAAAATACCCAAAATTTGTGAATAAAATCCAAATCAAAAAGTATTTGTGGTGGTAAAAAGCTACTTGAAAACGTTCTCCCACTTTATCATGTAACTTGCTCTATCTGTATTTGAAAGCCAGAGCCCCATCAGACCAAAAGAGCTAAGCAGGACAATGCCTGGTTAGTACTGTGATGGGAGACCTCTGGGAACACCGGGTGCCACAGTGGGGCATCTGAATCTGATGTGTGTGAGAATGGTTGGGAGGTCAGAGGGGCTAATGGCGCTTCTGTCAGTGTGCCCCAGGGCAGCTGTGGACACAGTAGTAGTTTATCATCACACTGTATGGAGTGAAAGAATAATGACATGTGAAGTATCTTTGAATGTCCAAAAATGCGCTGTATAAAACAGATGAATTATTATTATTATATTTTTTTTCTTTTTATTATTATCACTATTGTTAATTGAAGAATACCATAATTATATCAGCCCTTCATTGAAAAATGTTATAAATATATGAATAAACATGACAAATGGAGTCAAAGATGAGTGGAAGACGTAGACCATAATGTGGACAAAGTGGAAAAAAACCGCAATTGGCACACAATTGTAAAGAACACTATTTTAGAAGTACTTGTGATAAGTTGGGTTTAAAAGGCAAAAAACATCTCTGTCCATGATGTCAAAGATAGATAGATAGATAGATAGATACTTTATTGATCCCTATAGGAGAAATTTAGTTGTCCAGTAGCAGAAGAATCATCCATGTAAATCAAGGGAAACCAGTTTGATAAAGCTGCATTTGGACAGATAGGGAGGGCCAGTGTTTCCATGTGTTTGTGATAAGAGCATAGATACAAGTGGAACGCCAGCTCTCTGAACACAAGATCACAGCACCATTTGCTTTTGAAAACTTGGAAAGCAAAGGCATTGGAATATCTTTGCAGAATTAGACACTTTTGCATTTTAAGGATTTGGTTTAGTAAGTAAATAAAAAAGTCATCATTATTTATATAGCGCTTTTCCGAGATTGAGAGTCATAAAACGCTGGACATTTTCTCTCTTGCTCCTCACGGTGATGGAGGCAGGTGACCGTATGGACGTGTATACTTGATCTAGTGTGTTTAGTGAGAGGGGTCTAAACACAACTGTTTATATGTAAGTGTTGTTATTGTGTAGTGAATGTGCTGATGTTATTGTGTTGTGATGTGCAGTTGAGGCTTAAAGTAGCAATGTGTGAGACTTTCATGTCAAGTCATCATCAAATGGACCTAGTCTGTCAAAAGGCATTAATAAACCATGTTCTTTTCAAATACTTTTTTAACTGTGTGTGACTGTCTGTGTGTGTGTGTGACTGCGTGTGCCTGTTTGTCTGCGTGTGTTTGTCTGTGTGTGTGACTGTGTGTGTGCCTGTTTGTGTGCGTGTGTGTCAGTGCATGACCATGTGTGTAGGACTGTGTGTGTGCGTGTGTGTCTGTATGTGCACCTTTATGGGAGTTTAGAAGACGTTTTGACTGAAGACAATTGACTGAAAGCCTCAAATAGTTCATGGGCGTTATTTGGCCATCACGACCATGTTCAGACCCCACCTCTTATAAAAAGCTTTTAGCGTGTTATACTTTTTTGTCCACATGGAGCAAACTAAGCAGATATTATTGTGCTTCTGTTTGTGTATTGTTTTGTACGCTGAAATAGGACGCACATGAAAAAAAAAGTCTGGTTCTCTCATTGAGCACTCTATGTAAAAAAAAAAAAAAGAGAAAGCAGAAAATTAGAAATAATAACAATACAAATAAATATAAAGTACAAAAATAAATGAATTAAATGCCAGATTTGTCAAAAATGGAACAATAAAAATATCTTGCAGAACACGTTTCCTTTCAAGAGACAATTTGTTCTGACTTTCCTCACCTGGCGCTCCAGCAAACCCGGTGAGAGGCGGGCTGCTGCTGCGGGACGAGTCTTCGGACCCCCTCCTCACCGTGACCCTGCGCGTGTATCCGGGGGGTCCGGCCTCTCCGGTCTCCACCACGGGACGAGCCGGGACCTCCTGGGGACCGGAGGGCTGGAGGCTTGGAGTATTGGGCTTGAGGGCCGTGATGTGGGGGCGTCCCGGCTGGGTGGGGGGCCGTGGGGGCTGGCGGGGGTGGGTCGGCGGCGGGATGAAGGGGATGTGAATGTGTTTGACTCCACGATTAGGATCAGGAGCAGAGGACGGGCGCTCTGGTCTCAGCGTCATTCCTGCAAAAGAGGCAAGAGATGGTTTAGACTGGGACAAGAATGGACTGTAAGGGAACTGGTTAAAGGAACTATACCCAATTTTTTTCTAATGAGTTCATAAACATGCTTCTTACTGCATACAAGTTGTATAATAATCTATCATCTAATTGAAAACTTGAGTTCATTGATTCAGATTGTGTATGAATTCAGACCGTAATAAGTGCTGAGTAGAAACCCTCCTCTAAACTCCTCTAGCCTCTACAGCGCAGGTACACAAGAGCAGCATGTTAAAGAGCGACTAAACACCTGTGCCCAGCCTGACTCCGCCCACATGAAGATTTGAAAATGTTCTCTGAGGCCCCGTCTACACGTAGCAGGGTATCTCACAAACCGAAGATATTTTCCTACGATCTGGCCTATCATCCACACAAACCCGGAGTTTTCTGTCGATAAAAACGAAGGTTTCTGAAAACTCCGGCCAAAGTGAAGATTTGGGAATTCTCCGGTTATGCGTTTGAGTGTGGACATAAATAACCGGAGTATTCGGCTGTACGTCACTACCAGCGTGCTGCTCTGACGTCACACGCGCGACCTGTGTTTACATCAGAAACAACATGGAGGCCATCAAAACCGCTTTTGTTTTAACGATTGTTCAGGCACTTTTTGCTTGCTTGTTTTTACAAGCTCAAATACTGCTTCATGTTGAAGAGCACAGACGAAGGAGCACTTTAAGGTCGGCTATTTTCCGCCAAATAACCATCCCTCGTCCAAGACATGTTCCTCGTCAAAGACGGCAACGGCAATTTTGGGTCAGACCGGGACGCACTGCCAGCTGGTGGGAGAACTTTGAGATGGAAGTCGTCCTCCCGGAGGAAGGTAGGTTTGTAGGTTTGAAATGTAATTGACAACGCATGTATGCGGTTAGGTGTGGATGCCGTTTTTTAAAAAACCGAGGCTGTGTGGACAGAAGTTTTTTTTTAGGCGGAGGGCGGATTTATAAATGCCCTGCTACGTGTAGACAGGGCCTAAAAAGGGCGTTGCCTGGAGGACCAAGGGACAAGTAACAGAACGTGGCTATACCTCCTCTTGTTGTAACTGCATACACAGAAAACAGCCCAAACGATGCAAAAGGGAGGGAGGAAGAGAAGAGGGAACTAAAGCAAAAAAATTATCAAAGATGAAATCAAGCCTGGGTGAACATAGCTAGCTTGCATCGTATCCTCCAGAGAGACCTGCAGGAGCGGGACCGCCTCGGACTACATTTGGACGCGCTCATGCTAATGTTAGCATACATATCAGATCGCAAATAAACCTAGATGGCTTCGTGGGATGAGAGCGTAGGGGAAATGAGCCTGTGAGCGAGTTGGGGAGCGGTGCTAAACATTCTACCTGAAAAAAAACCTTGCAGAAACGGGTATAGCTCCTTTAATAAATGTTTTATTATGTCTATATTATCTGTATCCTGTTTGTTATTTGTGACTTATGTGCACAAGCTTTAAATAAGGATGGAATTGAGTTATATTTAACTCAGTCTTCATTTACTCTTTATATCAGTGGTCTTCCGTTTCCTCCCACCCACTTAACCAAAATGGTTAAGTGGGTGGAGTCTGGTGTGCTCCTGCTTGGTTGGAATGAAAACCTGCGGCCACAAGGCCCTTTGAGGACTGGTTTGAAGACCACTGATATATTGTTTATAATCTTGATGCGACGGTCGTTACAAAAAAAAAAAAAATATTGTTTCATAATTTGTTTTCTTAAATATTTATTTTGCCCTGTTGAAAGAGTATATCCTTCATTTGAAATATTGGAGACTGGAGCCTTTCATAAAAATTACATAGAATAAAGCATAAAACCTATTGTTGACAGCACTACTGAATAAAGAGTACCGTATAAAACGTAAGGTTTTGGTACCAACCTAGCCTGGCCATCCCCACGGCTAAATGCTAAATGCTAACAACAGACTCGGGCGCATTACATACGTCACAGTAAAATCAGAACCAATCGTTTCAATCTGCAAAAGGAGTTAACCCCTCCCACCTGTAAACGGAGCTCAATGGAGCACCTCCGGACCGTAGTAAAAACACTTGTAAACCGCTTTGTGACTCTGGTCTGTGAAAGGCGGTATATATATAAAGATTACTTACTACTTACTTACTAGTACGAAATGTAATTTGTACTATGGTGTGGTACGACCAGGCTAGTACCAACCATGTTTGAAAGATAAACTGGAGGATATAAGGTGATGATTAGTGAACTTTACTATAACAATGCTGTATAACCTCTTGATTAAAGTCCTCCTTGATAATAGACTTTGCAAACATTGGTGACAAAAAGTCTATGTCCAAAATAAATAATGTACGTGTACATGTGTCTTGTGCATGTGAGGCTGCAAACGAGAAGCAAATGCAATGAACATGGTTAAAATCCATTAGGGCTGTAATTTACACACACCAAACATGTAAAAATGTGATTAGTTACAATAAACTGATTATTGTTACATGCCCATATTATACATACTGTGACATGTTAATGCTGGAGGGTCTAATGACAGTGATGACATTTATGGACTTTGGTCATCCTGCTCTCTATGGACCGATGGCCTCTTTATGTTTGTAAGAATTGCATTTCTTGTGTTTAAACGGTTTAATTCTCTGCTCTGTCGTCGAGGATACAGCAACTCTATAAAGTCCTCCGAGGCGACTGCTGATGTGATTTCGAGCTGCACAGAAATACATTGAATAAAATTGAACTAATATGGCAAAAGACATAGAGAAGTCTCACATGTCCGAACCCAGGGCAAATCCTCATTACGTCTTTATTCAGATCACTGTCCATTTTCTCTAATTCAACGGCACAATCACATTCACTACTCATCAGATCCTCCACATTTGAAACCTGGACAATTGGCTGCTCTCCAGTGAAGCCCTGAGGGAGCCAGACATGTGCTGAAACTTCTGTGTCCTGCGGAAAAACCACCAAATATAATAACTACACTTTCTTTTTTACCATTCCAGGTGTCGGCCGCCCATCGTGTCCACATCTCACCTGTCATATTTAACTCTTCATCTCTTTTTTTTTTGTCCCTGAATTGTTGCTATTTTTAAAAACGCCGCGGGTAGATCCAGGCATGAGCAGCCAGGACGCATTCCTCTATCACGGTAATGCATTGAGGCGGGCAATTAAGTAAAGGAAATGTTCACTTGATACGGCTGCTGGTGTTGCAGTGGAAACTATATGTTATGTTATATGAGAGCACTTGAGGCAATGCAAGGAAAATTAAACTTCTTAATAACCGCACGTGATATCATTTAAGAAGTCTCGTCTTCTATAAACTACAATAACAGCACGAATTCAGAGACGAGGAAACACGTTGAGAATACTTGATTGTCTCTTTATTTTTTATGGCTCAACATGTTCTGCTGCCGCTGCGTGGCCCTGGTCCACGTTATGTAGCTTAGGTCCTGGATCTATAGCCCGTCTGTCCGTGTGGAGAGGATTCCTCTCTCAATGTGGATCTCCCCGAGGTTTCTCACTTTTCTCCCTCTGGGTTTTTGTGAGTTTTTCCTTGCCGATGCAAGAGGGTCTGCTGGACAGTTAGTATCTAACCAGAAGGACTGTGCTCATGTTTGGACATTTATGTACATTCATGGACTTTGGTCTCTCCCTATGGACCAATACATTGTGTATTTTCTGTGTCTTAACGGTTGATCCTCTGATCTGTGTTGGTGATTTCAACGGTTTTGTTAAGTCCTCTGAGATGACTGCTGTTGTGATTTAGGGCTATACAAGAATAAATGGTTTTGTATTGTATTGTATAAACCTTCATTGTTGCTAAGATCAGATAGTTTTATCTAAGTCTAATTTATCAATCAATTAATCGTTTTTTTAACGGTACGCATACTTTAAACATGTTGAGAAGAAGTTTTGATAATTAATTAAATAGAACACAGGATTACAACATATTTTTAATCAAACAACTATGAAGATGTTCTCCAGGGGCATCACATGTTATACAAAACCAAGATTGTTGTTGGGCTGTGGCTAGAGAATCAGCTCTAAGATCATGTTATTCAGACTCAGGTGGTTATCTCTGCAGGACAGGTCCCTCTATTCGTTACTCTCACACTCTCAAATCACTCTGACACTTCCAAAAAATATGACTGAAAAATCTCTTTTTAGGCCAAAATGATATTCTTGAATTCTCCCGTGATTAAGTAGTCAATTTGAACCATCAAATTAAAGATAACTGTAAAGTGGCTTATTACCCCGCAATAAGCAAAATCCTTGAAGTAGCAGTGATTTGTTTTAAGGCTGTAAAACCCCTCACAACACACTTAATACACTTTTCTAACCAACTGAACTTACGACCACGATTGCAAAGAAATCGATCCTGTTGGTTGTAGGTCTGAGAGAAGACAGTGGTAGCCTTCTGAACTAATCACAAGAGCCACAAAACTTTTCTTCTGACTATACATAAAAGTAAATGTCATGTTACAGTCGCGGTTATATGATGTATGTTGTTGGAGTTTACACGTAGCGCATAATAAAAAATAAAAAAATCCACAAACTAGTTTATACAATTTATTATTATAATTTTTATTTTAAGATTAAGATGAAGAGATCCTTTATTTGTCAGAGTGAGGAAATGTCAGAGTTGCATCACAAGTTACAGACAGTAGGAATGAAGCACACAGCACAAGATAAGCGAATAATAACTATACTATACCCTACTAAAATAAATACATCTCTAACTCTAACATAAAACTCTTTAGAATAATAAGGAAAGAAGTCAGGAAAGAAACATCTCCAACTTTAGCATGATGAAGAAGCAAGACTTAAGTAAAAAAAACGTAAAAGTCCCATATTAAATGCTCTTTCAAGATCTCAATTTATTGTAAAAAATAATGAATGGATTATCAAAATACTAGCCCTATAGTTAAAATGGAAGCTTCTCGTGGTCAGTGGTTACAACATGTGACTACTGCATCCATTAAAACATGGATAAGCAATAGCTAAGCATC